GAGCCTTCTGTTCAGCTTGGGAGTTAGAGTTCCATTCTGGTCTTGTCTCTGGGGCTGCATTCCGGGCCCATTTCTCTGCATCCATGGTTTCCTCTGGGGCCTGCTCTTGCAGCCATTTTCTAGTTTCTGTTATGATCTGCTTTCTTTCTTTAGTATTGAAGAGTATCAGGAGCAGCTGTTGAATGTCACCCCAAGTCGGCTGGTGGGTCTGGAAGATGGACTCTAGGAGGTCACTCATGGCCTGGGGTTTTTCTGAATACGGCAGAGTGTTGTGTTGCCAGTTCAGGAGATCCGTTGTACTGAAAGGCTGGTAGTATGGGATGGAGTGGCTAGGCTGTACGGGGCCATCATTGCTAGCTTGTTGGGGCTCTTGGGTCTCCCGGAGAGGCCTCTGGAGAGTGGCTGCTGGCTGGGTGTCCTGCGGGGCTGAACAGAGTTTCCACCCCTTGGGCTCCCAGCTCAGAGCCTGGGGCCACCGTGGTGGTACAGACAGTGGTGGACCGTCCGGTAGAGGCAGCTGTGGTGGAGCCGCAGTAGCAGTAGGAACATTTGGCAGGGGTAGCATTGGCAGTTCTTCAGGGTTTACCTGAAGGACCGGCCTCGTGTCTTTTTCCATCTTTAATGTCAGAACCATGAGGATCTTATATTGTCCTTGACCATTTGTGTAGACCCGGACCCATGGAGGCAAGGTTTGGGGGATTGTTAGCCAAGAATCAATATATGGGAATTGGTCGCGGTGCCCTGGGGGCATGGCGATTATCCAGTGTATGTCCCTGAAAGCTGACAGGTCGAGCGTGCCTTCCAGGGGCCATCCCACTCCAGAGGTGGGCCACTCTGACTCACATCATGTGTGCAACTTCTTTGGTGTCAATTTAATTCCGTAGTTGCCTGAGAAACCCTTTTTGAAATTTTTAATCATGCAGTCCAGAACTGTCAGCTTTGATTTTGAGGATCCCTTTACTATTAGTTGACAGATTTCATGGCCTATAGGTGTGGGTCTGCTTCTGGCACTGAGGGCTGTGACCCCAGTATCTTCTTCCCACTCCTCAAAACAGTGGAGTTCTCAAAAATGCTGGCTGCCTCACCGGGCCTAACATCTATCTGCTCAGCTGCAAGTGCTGCCGATGAGTTGGGGTTTCCACGTTAGGCAGGTAACCCTGAGACTCCCTCAGGTCTGGATGAGCTCCAGGGGTCCCTGTATAAAGTCTTCTTATAGCCTGTATTGACAAAATATGAGGCCAGGGTGGCTGGCCGGTGGCAGAATAAATGAACCAAAATAAGGGGGACCTCAGAAGAGAGTTCCAGCCAGTCCTGGGTTGGCTCCCTCTGGCTCAGGTCTCGTGGTCTTAATTTTAGAGAGGAGTATATTGAGACTGGTTTATTAATTGCGACAGGATATTCCGGGGGACTGGTGACAAGGTCGCGCCTGAGACTCTTTAACCGTCTCATCTTTGCCCCTAAGGACACAGGAGTCATTTACTCATAGGCTGTTCTACGTCCCTTTCCCTCCCTGTGTAGCCATCCTGTGCCGGTGTCGCAAACGGGACAAAGGGAGGGTCTTCCCTGTGTCCACCTGGCCGCTCCCCTCATGGGGACGAAGGTGCTTCTTAGCTTCAGCGGGTCAGTATAAACCGCTGACTCCAATCAATTCCCCGAGGGGCCGATACCGCCATGAGCCATGTAAGGTCACCACAGAACCACAGGTTGGGACTCACTCGAACTCCGTAGCAGAATACCATGGAGCCACAAACTCGAACCTGATCGCATGCTTTTCAGGCCGCGCGCGTGTGCACACACACACAGATTATTTGCACATTCCCTCCCCTACCGTCAGGTGGGGAGCTTGAGGAGGTGACTAGTCTCCTCTTCTGTCCTCGGGACACAACCTGATTACCCTAACCTAAATATGGATGCTTCCCAGGGCTCCTACCTTTTTCAGCCACATTGCTTGGTTAGTTGGTCTATCCCACCACTGAGCCCAGTTGGGGCACAGCCGCCCAGAGGACTGAATCACCTCCGCAAAGGAGGACCTGCAATACTGTCAGGTGGCGCACCTCCTCGTTCACTTTTGGAGATCCCGATGGTTGCTCCGATGCCGCTGTGGCGTAAGGAAACAGCATGGTTGGAATCTAGCTGGGGCCTCCAGAAATGTCGTGGGAAAATATGTTACAGCTTAGCATTACAGCTCAGTATTACAACTCAGTTGTGACAGCAACCTGGATCCGGGTGTGAGACCAAGCAGCACTAAGAAAGTTGGAGAACTCAGGATTATTACACCAGCAGGCCCAGAGGAGTTAACAATCCAAGCTTTGAACCCTGTCTGTAGGTTTACACTGGCTTTTATAGGCTGCCAGTTTACACTTTGCAACATCATATGCAAATGAGGTATAAGGAATGTTGACTAATTAAGAACAAGCTTTGTAGAAATGGACCAATCAGGAGGGAGAGAAATAACCAATCAGGAGTGAGGGAAGTGGACCAATCAGAAGTGAGAGAAATAACCAATCAGAAGTGAGTTCAGAGGACCAATAGAATTTTAGGGGTAAGTAAGCCATTCCAGAGTCAAAAAGTGAAAATAGAGCCTCTGGGCCAGGGAACCGCATGGTGCTGGCAGGAGGGTAGTGGCTCTGCTTGGGAGTCCTGCCGGTCTTTCTATGGGGCTTCCCGCCTCAGTAGGGGACACTCTGTGACCTAGTGCCCCTTTGGGCTCTCGCGGCCATTTGTCTTCTGACCCTGAGAGGCGGGAATGAGTCTCTGCTCGGTTCACAGAGGAGGGAACTGAGGGGCGCACTGGTGGAGAAACTAGGGTCTTGGTCCAGGTCGTTGTGATGCCAGAATTCTCCTCCAGAGAGGCCTTTTTAGGAGGCCAGGAGACCCATGGGGTGGGGGGTGGGGGAGAGCAGAAGGATGGGTCTGGGCTGCAGAGGGGGGCACCTCTGACCTCACCCCCGACTCTCCCGAAGCCGGCTGTCCATCTCCCAGAGGCTCCCCAGCACCTCAGCGGGCCGGGAGAGGAGGAAGAGGAGGCGGCTCTTCGAGCTGGCCAAGCCCAAGACCAACTGGCACGTCCTGAAGGACAGGTGAGGGTCTGTGGGGGGGGAGCCCTGGCCCCAGGCCCCCTCTGTCCCCACATGCCATGTGGGTTCTGAAGGAGGTGAGAAGTCAGGAGCCCAGCGCCAGGGTGGGCGGGGCCCTGTCTCCCGCAGGATGGGGTGCTGCTGCAGGGGCTATGCGTGGATCACCCCCCGCATGAGGAGCCTGCAGTTCTGTGTCTACTGGTGAGTCCAGGCCCCCCGCATGCCCTCCACGTCCAGGGGCCCGTCTCTCGAGTCCCTCTACTCTCCTGGGATGGGTCCAAGGCAGGGCTCTTGGCTGGGGGCCCCCACCCAGGACTCCTGGCCCCAGCCTGAGGTGGGTTGGCTCCCCAGATGACCGCTGGGCCCCTTTCTCAGTTACACTTCTTTTTTTCCCCAACTCCTTCCTCCTCTGAACACCTGCTTCGCTCAAAATAATCTTCACTCCCCACAGCTCTAAGACTTTCTCCCCTGCCCCTCTCTGACTGCCCCTTCTGCAACCCCCCACTCTGTCTCCTCCCTCCCTCCCTATCCAGCTGTTCTCCTCGAGGTTGAGTTCACAGGGCGCCCTGAGTCCTGTTTCTGAGCCGGGCGCAGGATGTCTGGGCCCTGCCTCCCTCACCCTGAGCCTCGCTGGGTGTGTTCCAGGCCATCCGTGTACTGGACGGAGAGATTTCTCGAAGACACCACCCTCACCATCACAGTGCCGGGTGGGTGGAGCCCACCTGCCTCCCTCCTCCCAGGGCGGCCCATCTCACCCTGACCCGTGCCCCCCTGCCCCCGCCCGAACCCTGCCAGGAGTCCCCTGGGGCTGCTCATTCCCCGTCTCCCAGGAGTACCCCCACTCAGTCTTCCAGGGGTCCTCTCCAGAGTCTGTCCCCCATCAGGAGGCTGGCCTGGGGGGAGGGCTGTGGGGCCCACTGTCCAGGGGACGTGGCAGCCAAGGTGGGGTCAGTGTCAGCTTCGCAGAGGACCCTTCCCTTCTTTCCACAGTAGCTTCTACACTGAGTGCAGCAGGTCCCTTTAAATTAAACGTTTCAGGAAAGCTCATTTCCGGAGAGAAGCTCAGGGTGTGTTCTCCCTCAGGGTTCAGAAGCCCCGACAGGAGGCCTGTCCTGACTTCTGGCCAAAATCTGCTTTCCCACTGGTGGGCCTGCCGCGCCCCCGTCCAGCCCTGCCGCTCCTAGACCGGGACCCGCGGTTCCCAGGCAGGGTGTCTGGTGTAGGGGGCGGGTTTGATTCGGGCTGTTGCCCTTTTCGCGCAGAGGTGTCCCGCCGGGTGGAGGAGCTGGCTCGACCCAAGAGGTTCTACTCGGAGTGCTACAGCAACAACAGGTGGGGCCCCCCCGCGACTCTGGGGTGGGCGGGGCGAGGGCGGGGGCAGGGCCAGGGTCGGGGGCCGCCCCCTCCAGGGCCTCGGGCACTGAGCCTCGAGGCTCCGCTCCCGCTGGAGATGCTGGAGACGCAGAGGCACTTGCCCAGGGTGAGCAGCGTGGGTCCCGGGGGCTCCAGAGGCTGGCGGTTGTGAGATGCCTCGGGGCACCGTGCCTTCTGTGCTGGTTGGAGTGTGGCCTGGAGGGACAGGACACAGGCTCCAGTGTCTTATCTGGTGCTGGTATAGAAAGGAGGGCACCTGAGATGAACTGGCTGAATCCAGTGCAAATGTGCTGAGTCGCTTTCCGCTCAGCCCCACCCACGTTTTCCACGTGCCAGTAACCTCTCACCTTAATGCCGATCACGAGCGATCGCTATCTGACTTGGAGGTAATTTACTCCGCGTGTGACGTAGCACCTGCAGAACCAGGTGCGTGGAGCTCGGCTGGGCTGACCCATGTGATGCCCGCATCCCAGCACATCCAGGCAAGGACGACCTGGGCCTCTGGCGGCCGTGTCCCTGTGGTCCAGCCTGAGGGATGTGAAAATGAGAGCCTGCCTCAGACGTGGCCGTTTCTGGAGCAGAAGCAGAGCTGAGATCTGATTTTAGGAGGCGCGGGCCCTGCAGTGTAGGGAAGCTTTCCTGGCTTCCTGCGGGCACTCGGAAGCACACACTCTACCCATGGCATCCAGTTCCCGGCTTGCCCTGGTTGGGGGGTAGGGGAGGCCTGGGAAGGGCAGGCGGCACAGGATCTCCTGAGAGCGTCACTCTGACCCTGAGGACAACTGGGGGCTCTTTTATGAATCCTCCTTGGAGGTATTTTCAGAACTCTCCATGGTCCCAGGCTCCCCTGATCCCCAGAATCAGAGATCAGCTGAGAGGGGGTGTCACCCACACACAGAAGCACACACATGTCCCCCTGGGCCTCCAATGTGGCTGTCCCTCAGGACCACCTCCGTCTGGCCCATTCCCCGGTCCACCTTGGGATACCAAGCGTCCAGTCGCCTGAGGGAACTGGCCAGGCCGAAGATGCGGAGCAGCATCTGGAACACCAGCATGTCCGAGGTAGGTGCCTGTCTCTCCTGGATTGGCCCTGCTCCCCGCAGGCCCCCCACAACCCCGGCCCCAGGCTGGGGTCAGGGGCCTAGGAGGACAGGAGGTAACAGACTGCAGAGCAGTAGATGCATCACTGCCTTCCTGTGAATCCTCCAGGATTTGTTCCAGAGAAAGCTTTACTTTCCTGCCCTGCCTGGAAGCCTGCTCCAGGACCACCCTCCCTGCCCCTCAGCTCAGAGAGGAGCCCAGAGCCTTCCGCCGGTCTCAGGTTACCAGAAAGCTCAGCGCGTTCTGAATCCAGCCCTTACCTCTCCTCCCCAGCTGGGGCCTGACTCGGCCCTGGAGGCTCCCTCCAGCCACTCCCGACGAGACACGCTGTCCTGGGAAGGGGCCACGGTGTGGGCATGGCTCACCCGCTGAGGGACGTGTGGCTGTTTGTGGGCTTAGGCTCCTGCACACACAGCTGCGTGAACCGCTGAGCTCGGGTCTCTGTGGGGATGGTTTCTGTGCGTCCGGGGCGAACACCCGGAAGTGGGCTTGCTGGGTCCGGAGGCCTGTCTGACGTCAGAAACTGGCCAGCTGCGTCCACGGCGGCCGCTCTGTCCAGCACCGTCTGTGCCTTTGTGGTCGCTCTGCTTGTTGCCTCCCAGCTGGCTGGCTGACAGACGTGCCGCGGGTGGCACGGTGGCTCCACGCGCGTTGAATCGTGTGCGGACGGGTGTTTTCACGCGTTTATTTGACAGACCCTACTTCAAACCTTCTAAAAGTAAACCCAGGCACCTCACCACTTCCTTATCAATGCTTCCCTGTGGATTGCTGACAGACGAGGACACTTTGAAAACAACCATAACAATAATAGTTACACTGAAAGACAGAACAACCTTACCTTAGTGTCAGCATACCCTGTCCACGTGCTGTCTCCCCAGCTGTCTCAAAAATGGCTTTTAGAGTCGGTTTTGTTTGGTTGCATCAGGATCCAGGGGGAGGGGGCACTGGCCTTCTGACCTGCCCACCTCTTGCCTGGTGATGCACCTGCTGTTGCCCTGGCCCCTGCCTCTCCTTTGCCGGTTCAGCCGTCAAACCCTCTGTGCCCAGCGCCCTCCGTGGCTCACCAGTACGCTCCCCGGGAACGTCAGCAGGACGGGGTCTTCTCCACCACTCCGCCCGCATGTGCCCCCTCTGTTGGACTGAATGCTGTTTCCTCTGCAAGGCCCCCGGCCTTTGCACGTGTCGTCCCCCTACCTAGACTCTGGCTCTGCTCCTGTTCCGCCCAGCCTAGGGGGAGCCCCACCTCCAGACTCCTACACCAGAATTTCCCTCCCCAGCGCTTCTCACACAGGCTTGGACTGGACTGTCGATTCTTGCACTGCACAAAGGGGCTTGTCTATCCTGGTGTCCAGACCTTGCCTTGTCCTGGGCAGGCATTGGAATGGTCCTCAATATTATTCCAGTGCCTGAATAAACCAGTGTTTACCTGCCTGTGGTCTGCCCTCCAGGCTGGGGCTCCTCGAAGGCAGGACTGCAGTCGGACTCACCTCCGCCTCAGCTGGTGACAGCTGCGGGGGCCACGGGCAGGGGTGGGGGGAGGAGAGAGGAGAAGGGGAGGGGAGGGGAAAGAAGGATGGAGGGAAGGACAGAAGGAGGGACACGAGACTGTAAACACCAAGATGTCTAGTGAGAGCAGTGTCTGTGGGTTCCAAGCAGGACAATGTCAGGAGACAGGGACTCAAGTCTCAGTGAACCTTGGGGATCGTTTCAGCCAGTCCTCTGCCTCCAGGCAGTCTCCTACCCAAAGCGCACCTAGCAGAAAGCTTTTGGAACACATGACATGCCCGAGGGTTTGGGCAGGTTTATTCTGACCTCCTCCCTTTAGGAGTAAAACATTCCCCGCTCCCCCTGCGCCCTCCCCCTCCAGAGGCGTCAGGACGGCCCCCACCTCCACTGGGCAGACACACTCAGGTTTTGTCCATTCTTGAAGAACGTTTACACGTGTAAAGGAGCCGGCTGGCGGGGAGGGGGCAGCCTGGGAGGAGCGGATCTGGTTTGCACTTTTTTTAGGTGGTGGGGGGGTGGCGAGAGCGGGACAACGATTAACCAGTTTGCCGCCAGCTGACGGCACCGCGTGACAGCCGGTTTCAAAGGCACTTGTCACGTGTGGATTCCCTGGGAGACACTGAGCTGCCTCTGTGGGTTTCTCGGTAAACCGTCTGCCGTCCTGCACTTTGGCCGGCTCTGCCTCATTTCCATCATTTTGTACTTTATTATGCAAATAGACCCATAAACTATAATCACAGTGTGTTGTGTGTTTAATATACACATTATGGACTCTCTTCTTTCTTGCTTTCCCCTCAATGTCTGCTCTCTAGAGCACTGTGGGCTCGTTTATATAGAAGCTGTGTTTTTACCGCTGCGTTGCGTCCGGGCACAGGAGTATACCCGATAACCAACCCATTCCCGCCTGGTAGGCACCGAGGTTGTTTCCAGGTGCCCGGGTTGCCAGCCACGGGGGTGTCCCCGCACTTACCCTCCCGCCCTGGTGTCAGTGGTGTCGAGGGGGCATGTCCCCCTCTACTGGGGATGGACGGCTGCTCTCCCGAGTGCTGGAGCCTCCCCTCCCCACCCTCTGTGTGCTTGCCAGGGCTTGATAAGGTCAGACTTTTTCACTTTTGCCAAGTTTGCTGGCGTGGAGCGATGCTTTGCTGTTTTAATGACATTTCCCTGGTCCACAGAGAGGCTTGCTCATCCCTTGGGCCTGCTTGCCTACCTGACTGGCTCAGGTTCCCGTCGTTCTTTTGTGTTATTGATTTAGAGGAGCTCTTTATTTGTGATGGCTGCTAATCCTTTGCTGAACACGCCGCAAACTACCCTCCTCCTAGTCCGTCTTTGGTCTTTCAGTATTGCCATGGGGTTGTTTTGGTCTGGGGCATAAGGGAGAGTCACGAATAACTCTGTTTCCAGGTGTCCCAGGTGTCCAGGGCAGCCCGGATGGCCGTGCCCAGTCCCAGGATCCTCCTCTTGGCCAAGCCCAGGGCTCCAGCCACCCTGCTGGAAGAGTGGGACCCCATGCCGAAACCCAAGCCACACGTGTCCGACTACAACCGTCTCCTGCACTTGGCCAGTAAGCATGTCCCTGGGGCTTGGTGCCTTGTTGGGGGGTCCTTCCCCGCCAGACACAGACGGGCAGTCAGTGGACTTGCACCTGCTTCTGCCAGATTCGTGCTTCCCTCATCTTCCCCTTGAACTGCAGAGCCGCGGTCCAGACCCCTGTGGATAATTCAGACTGCGGCCCACAGGGCCCCATGGAGCTGGGGACCAGTCCCCCGGGGTCGGGGATGTGGGCCTGGGCAGAGGGTCTCCTGGCACCACAAGTGGCTGCATAAGAGGAAGTCGCGGTGCGGGGCCGGGGCCTGGAGGGCTGAGCTGAGGCCCACGGGTGGCTGGTGTGGCGTTGGCCTGACTCTCTTCCCGTCCCGTAAAACAAAGGCAGTACCTCGTTCCCCCCAACAAAAGTAGCGTGCCCTGACCGCAGAGACTTTGGAGGAGGCAGAGCACTGTGGAGAAGAAAGGGATCCCACCACCGAAGGCAGCTTGCTGTGTCTCCCTCTGGGGTACACGTGAGGTGCACAGAGACCCCCAGACACACGCAGCCGTCTGGGGCCCTGCATGCCTGTCGCGCACCCCTGTGGCCAGTGCCCGGCAGGAACCCCCCACCAGGAGAGCAGCACCAGCCAGGAAGAGAGGAGGCCTCCCACACTCCCCTCCCCACCGAGACATCGGAGGAAGGAGTGAGAGAAAGGGCTGACTGAACCCCTCCTCACCCCTGGCCCCTGGCACCTCCATCTCTCCCCTGTGAGTCTCTCTGTCTGGGACCTGTGACCATTTCATTTTTTTTTTTGCAATTCACCCTTTTAAAGTGCCCAATTCAATATCTTTCAGTATATTCACTGAGCTGTGCACTCATCACCTCTAATTCTAGAACATTCCACTTACTGTCCCCATGAGCAGCCACCCCACCCCCTACTCAGCCCCTGACAACCAGGAATCCCCTCTCCTATCTCTGAGGACTGGCCTGTTCCGGACGTCTCACGTCCATGGAGTCACACACTATGTGTCCTCCTGTGTCTGCTTCTGTCCCTGAGCAGCGTGTTCTCAGGGTCCATCCATGTGGTGGCAAGTGTCAGCGCTCCTCTCCTTTTCACGGCTGAGTGATGTTCCTGTGTGTGGAGAGACGCGTGTGTGTATCTGCTCAGCTGTTGTTGGACAGGCCATTGAACTTGGGAGCTCTAACCCAGAAGGCTGACCTCTGCAGGGGCGGGCCCCACACGCAGGGCTCCGGGCCTGACCTGTCCTTCTCTCCCGCCCTTCCAGTGCCCAAGGCCCAGTCAGACAAGTGTGTTCCTGACCGAGATCCACGCTGGGAGGTGCTGGAGATCACCAAGAAGGCAGTGGCCAGTCCCCGGGTCATCTTGCTGGCCAAGCCCAAGGTGCGGAAGTGCCTGAACGAGGGCTATGACCCCTGCCGCATCTCCCCCGCCTCCCTGGTGGCCCGGGCGTCCCCACGCCTGCACGAGCTCGCCACCCCCAAGGGCGTCACCAGAAGAGTCTGAGACTGAGAGCCGGCCTGGCCCCCGAGCCCACGCCATGACCGGTGAACACCCGAGCGCATCCTAACCTTGTGTGTGGGTCTGAGCGCTTGGGTCTGGAGGCAGGAGGGCAGTGGAAGAGGCCAGAGGAGGAGGTGATGCTGATGGTAATGATAATACTTACATTCGCATTCAACCTGCAGCTCCTGCAGCCCTTTTTTCCCCCAGATTTCCATCCCCTGCCATCGCCAGCTGCTCTGACGGCGACTCCACCCCTCACTTCACAGTTCCCCCTCGAATTCTCCTACTCCAGCCACATCCTGGGTGTCCACGAGCCCCGCGGACACAGGGTGACCTCCATAACAAACCAGTGGATGGTTTACCGATCGATCCTCGCAGCAACCTGGTGAGGGGGACTAGGAGTGTCCTCGTTTTGCTGAGGTTGTGACTGAGGGTCAGATAGTTGTGACAGACCCGCAGTCCCCACGTGAGTTTCCTGGGGCAGCTGGAACAAGTCACCACAAACAGGTGGCTTAAAACAACACAGATCTGCTCTCTGACAGTCCTGGAGGTCAGGCGTCTGACTCGGGCCTCATGGCGCAAAACCCAGGCGTGGGCGGGGCTGGTCCCTCCGGAGGCTCCAGGGAGAAGTGGCTCCTGCCTCTTCCAGCTTCTAGAGGCGCCGCATCCCTGGCTCGCGGTCCCTCCGTGCATCCTCACCACCAGCAGCGCAGCATCCCCCGTCTCTCTCTGACTCTGACCCTCCCGCCTCCCTCTAATGAGGACCCTATGTGGACACAGGGCCCCCTGGGAATCCAGGATCACCCCCATCCAAGGGGCCTTAACTCAATCCCACCTTCAGGGTCCCCTCTGTCCTGTGAGGTGAAGCGTCCTCAGGTCCTGGGATCAGGACAGGGGTGTCTCTGGGGGCTGTTATTCAGCTGAGCACAGTGGGAGAGAGATTGCTTATGTCTCTGGAATCCTAGACAAAGTCTTGTGTATCTCTGGTTCTGGCTGGGCCTCTTGGGGACCGGTTGCTGGGTCCTGAGAGACTGATGTGTGGACTGACGTAGGCCAGCCCCTCAACAACTATTCTCTCAGCATCTGCCACAGGTCAGGTCCTGAGCCATGAGTCTGAGGATCCACAATTAGTACCAGACTTTGGGGACATTAATTCACTCAATGATTTAAAGGACATTTTTGAAGTATTTATAGACGCAAACCTGGACAGAGGTTCAGAAGAAAAAGGTTAAAAAGAAGCCCACCCTCCCCCTCCCGATTGATACAGTGACACAAACTGACTTGAAGCCGGTGGCCACTGCTGAGTGAATGTTTCTGCTACTGGAGGGAGATGGTGGCTGCACACCTGTCCAGTGATGATAAGACTGCTGGCTCTCTCCTCGTCACAGGGAGTGGGGACCACGGCAGCTGGATAGCCTTGGCAGGGGCGGCTGTGATGAGACAAGGGGCGTGTGGACCAGGGCTCACACCCTGTTTACTGGACAGGAGTTCCCGCCCTGGAAACAGGGTGTCCTGATTCTGGCCGAGTGGACACCAAAGATGTTTGGGCCCCAATCCCTGAAATCTGTGAACATGTCACTTTAGATGGCAAAAGGGACTCTGCAGGTGGGATGAAAGGTTTTGAGAGAAGGAGGTTACCCTGGATCCCCCGGGTGGGACCAATATGATCACATGTCGCAAGAGGGAGGTAGAGGAAACTGTGACACCAAAGCCACACGTGGAGGATCGCAGCCCTCAGAGGAAGCACGGCCCCTCTCAGGGCCTCCAGGGGGAGCACGGCCTGCTGACACCGTGGTGTCTGAGCCCCAAATAACGAAAGCGTGTTTGTTGTAGCTACTGGATCTGTGGTGGTTTGTCACAGCAGCAAGTGGAGACTGATACATGTTAGAAACCACAGAAGTTCAGTGTCAACAAGTCGGAGTGTACACACCTTGGTGACAGTGTGGCTGGTGAGCAGTGACCCTCCACAAATAAAGGGGGTGTTCTCCCTTTGGGACCCTGCAAAACACAAAAAACAAAAACCATAAACCAACCAAGGGTCCAGAATGACGTGCTGGTTCTCTGGTCCAAGACCTCTGCACATTTTCACGTTCTTATTCAAGATGAGAAAAAACAAGCTTCACGCAGACATCTCTCTGAGAAACACTATTTGACTTTGGCCTACACGTAAATCCCCATCTTGTGATCTGATGCGCTGATAGAGAAGCGTGTGTACTACATGTTGCAGATGTGGCTTGTGGTCAGCTTTGTTGAGCTGGGACAGACAGACAGCAAGTCTCACCAGTTTATGAGCAGGACACAGGTACCCAGTGGCGGAGCCACCACTGTGATCGAGACATACAAGTTCATCTCCGCCAAAGCCCCCTGGGGCTGCTCTCCCAGCCTGGCCTGGCCTCCAGTGTCTGCTCTCTGTCCCTACGGGGAATGTTTCTGGAACACTGGTAAACCGGGACCCAATGTGACTCACTGGCTCCCAACCCTGCGATGCATCTGGGGGTCATTCTGAGTTTGGCCTACTCCCAGCTCCTGACAGCGCGCGTACCAGCTCTTAGCTCTTCACCGTATTTATGCTACACTTTCAACGTGTGTTACTGTGTCTGTTTGTTTTTTACATTTTCAAAGTACGATTCCTGTTTCGTGTCAGAGGTGAGGTCCCCAGGAAGCAGATTCTGAGACCGAGATACAGACGAAAATGCGTGGTGCTGGCCCTGGGGGTCGCCACCCGCCCGGGGGTGCAGGACACAAGGCTGCGTGGAGGGAAAGCGGGCTGAGGGGACACAGTGGCAGCAGGTCCTAGGGGAGCGCTGCAACGTCACAGCTATCCCCCGTTGGTCACAGGTGCTGGGCCCCCACCAGTCCCTGGATGTGGGCGGCCCCTGTGATGGAGGTGACACTCCTCAAAGGCCAGACCTAGGAGACGCCGCCAGGAGCCACCAGCCACCAGGAAGCAACTCCTCGTATTTGGGGTTGGGGCGGGGGTGGATGGTGCACACGGCTCCTGCTGTAGCCCACCCCTGGCCCTCTCAGCTCAGGGTGGTGTGTTCTGGAAATGGTTCCTCCAGGATCTTGTCAGAACTATTTTTCTGGGGGAAAACTTGCAAGAAAAAGACAAATGGGTGAACTCAGCCCCCACGGCTGCCCCTGAGCTGCAGGTGAATGCCTCCTCCCTCACCTTGGCCAGCTCCCCCTCTGCTGGGCCCTGAGGCTCAGCTGGAGGGGTGCGAGGCCCAGCCCAGAGGCCACTTACTGCCCAAACCGGGCAGAGCAGGCCCAGGAGGAACAGGCAAGTGGACCCAGTGCTCAGTCGAGGCCCTGGACACCGCGTGCTCCCACTGCCGGGAATGCCCTCTCCGGCCTCTAGGCTGAAGACGCTGCGTTTTTAAAAATTGAAGTATAGTCAGTTTACAATGTCGTGTCAATTTCTGGTGTAGAGCACAATGTTTCAGTCATACGTATACATACATACAGTGAGAGAGAATACAAAGACATTGCTTTTTATTTTTTTAGTTTTATTTTATTTACTCTTTATTTGAAAATCATTCAGGTTTTCAGAATAATTGCAAGAATAAGTATAGTAAAAAAAAAAATCTGCATACCTTTTCCAGATTCAGCTGTTAACACTTGGCCCTACTCACCTTACCATTTTCCTTCTTTCTTTCTCTCCCCAAGCCCCTTCCCCATCTGTGTTTCACAGACATAAAAGGTGTTCTTCTGAAGTCCTTGAGAGCAAGCTGCAGATATCATGGCACCTCAGCCACATGGCACCTCAGCCCTGTCACAGCCACTTGGGCTGCTCTGACAGAAAGGCCCTGGACTGGGTGCCTTATAAGCAACAGAGATGTGTTTCTCACAGTCTGGAGGCTGGAGGCCAAAGTCGAGGTGGCAGCAGGGGTCTGGTGAGGAACTGCTTCCTGGTTACGAGGCTGTCTTTTCACTGGACCCTCACAGGGCAGGAGGGGCAGGGGAGCCCTCTGGGGTCTCTTGTAGAGGCACCCATTCCATTCATGGGGGCTCTGCCTTCGTGACCTCATCACCTCCCAAGGGCCCCACTTGCAAATACCTTCACACCGAGGACTATGTTTCAACACAGGAATTTTTTGGATACACAGCCACTTAGTCTACAGTAACCCCTCAATACTTCAGCGTGAATTTTCTAAGAATATTCTCTCACATGACCACAGAAGAGCTACTGATTTCAGTAAACTTAACATTGATGCATTATGTTTATCCTTCCCCCACCTGACTTCAGTTTTGTCAACTGGTCTAACAGCTTCCTACAGGATCCCTACAGGATCCAGCCTGGGACCAGGCATTGCCTTTAGTTGTAATGTCTGGAAGATTTCCTCAGATCAGTGTTTTATGGCACTAACATTTCTGGAGAACACTGTCCTTCTCCCCCGCGCCCCCTGCCATTTAATAGGATGTTCCTTATTTGGGGTTTGTGAGAAGTCTCCTCAAATAAAGACCCAGGTTATGCGTTCCTCGGCAGATTGAGTGATGTAGCGTCCTTCCCAGGGCCTCTATCTGCCCCTCACACATGATGTTTATCTTTATCATCTGGCTGAGAGGTTGCCTCATTTCTCCAGTCTAACTAGTAATCAGTCTGTGGGAAGAGGCTTTCTGACCTAAAACATATCCTTCTCTTCATCTGAACCCCCACCTCTCCTGCATTACACGTCTATCTCATGATTCTTGTCCAGGCTCCCTCCAAGGGGTCTTCTCTGGTTGCCTTGGGTTGACTTAAGCCTCTTCCCCTGGTTCCTGCCACTTGTTATGACACTGAGTCCCACGTGGGCACGTAGCGTCTGCTGGTGCATCTCCCTGCTTCAGTGGACCTCTGTCTGCCTGGCACCCAGTTGAGGGCTGCAGGGGACACTGGTGGACTGACCGATGGACTGCATGACCAGCTGTTTCCTGTATTAGTGGGGACTCTGGGTCACCAGGGCCTGGACCCCCAACCTGAACGATGTATGTCAACGCGAGGAGTGGGGACCCATGACTCATGGACCGTGTGACTCATCAGAGAGCAGGGCAGACCTTTCACCAGAGGCTCCCTCCCTGGCTGGCAGATGCTGAGGGGAGCACCACGCTTTCACACCAAGCACCGAGCCCGGCGCCTCCCACCTCCCAGGCATTCCGTCCACACTGATATCAACGACAGCGTGCAAAGAATGGGGCTCTTGAGTTTCCCATCTCCCCAGTTCCATTCTTCCCCGTTTGTCCGGAAATCCGGGGACCTCCTTCCTGCTCCCTCCACCTTCACTGCGCCGGGGCGTCCGTGGGTCCCCCTTTCCCACCCTCTCCGTTTCCACTCGCGCCGTGTACACCTCCTGCCCTGATGCCCACAGCACGTCTCAGTCTGTGAGGACACGGGGCACCCATGTCAGGACCGGCTCGTTCACGCTTGCCCGGGGGCCCAGCGCAGGTTCATAACGTTTATTCAGTGGGTTACATCCCACGACAACCACCGGCCCAGAGCCAGTGGCCGGGCTGGCCTCCACCTCTGCTGCCCACCCTGGGCACTCGGACTCCAGGCACCCCAGGGAGGCCCATCGTCACGGGTGCAAAAGTGCAGAAAGTTCCAGAACTCGCTGCCCGCCTTCAGTCCCAGCTCCATCGCTCACGAACCGGGCGGTCGCTCCGGGCCTCGGGGTCCTCGTCTGTAACAGGGACACTGACGGAATTCGGCCGTGCGAGTGGGAGGAGGGACTGGGGCCAGCGCTCCCTGCGAAGGCGTGCTTGTCGGGAATCAGTACTTTCGTTAGTGGCATCCCGCACCG